TCTTTTTCAGATTAAGCCAACACAAGCGACTTCCCTAATTATCACCATAAAGTTAGGACAAAATTATATGTGACAAAAGGTGCTCTCAAATCCTCTTGCTCAAGAACTAGTCATTACTTATCTTGAGAACATACACGTAATGGGTTGTATCTCCTTGACTATATTAGGGGGTGAAATCCCTTTCTGTCTTTGCATTCTCTTAGCAAGTTACCTGTGATGGGCATCACATTCTGGTTTAATACTATGTCAGAGTATAGACTATTCCATAGGCATTGAGGAACTGTGAAGATTTTAATCAGAAATTGAAATAATCCACCATTTGACTTTAGGAAAATGACTCTGGCAGGAATGTGGAAGAAGATGGAGCAAAAAGGAGAAGGGTCCAATGGCACAGCACTGAATGCATCCACAGTCATAATTTTCTGATAGATTTTTTTAGTCTGTTATTACTAAATAAGTAATTCTTGGACTGACTTTTCCCTTAGCAACCCTAACAATATCTAGAGCTGTATTTTTTTTTTTTTTTTTTTTTTTTTTGCTCACCAGGAACAACATTTCTCCAGGATATGGAGAGTAGAGGAAAACATGCCCGGATGTGTGACACTCCTTAGATATTGCTCCTGAATGGTTTGGGTGTTCCTCTGGCTCCAGAATTTTATCCCAATGACACTGAGATTCCAGGCATCTTTTGTATTTCTGATGGTATCCATCAGAAGAAAGGAGTTGCTTATTAGAGTGTTCTGGTAACACTGGCTGGTAGCTCAGTTTATGGTAATCACTTGCTTATCACTGAGGTTTTATATATTAATTGTGAAAATGGGGTATGATTGTTAGGACAAATGCCACTTGGTTTTCATTGGCAGCCCTTTCTGTGAACCCCAAATTATGACCATTGTTGGCCTGGATTCTTATGGGTGCAAATTTTCCTAGTATAAATACCCATAAGAGGATTTCTTTCTTTCTTTCTTTCTTTTTTTTTTTTTTTGTACTTTAAGTTCTGGGGCACATATGCAGAACGTGCAGGTTTGTTACATGGGTATACACGTGCCATGGTGGTTGCTGCATCCATTACTCCATCATCTATATTAGGTATTTCTCCTAATGCTATCCCTCCCCTAACCCCCACTCCACTGCTATCCCTCTCCTAATCCCCACCCCCCAACAGGCCCTGGTGTGTGATGTTCCCCTTTCTGTATCCATGCGTTTTTATTGTTCAACACCCACTTATGAGTGAGAACATGCGGTGTTTGGTTTTCTGTTCTTGTGTCAGTTTGCTGAGAATGATGGTTTACAGCTTCATCCATGTCCCTGAAAAGGACATGAACCCATCCTTTTTTACGACTGCATAGAATTCCATGGTATATAAGTGCCACATTTTCTTCATCCAGTCTATCATTGATGGGCATTTGGGTTGGTTCCAAGTCTTTGCTATTGTGAACAGTGCTGCAATAAACATACGTGTGCATGTGTCTATAATAGAGCGATTTATAATCCTTTGGACATATACTCAGTAATGGGATTGCTGGGTCAAATGATATTTCTAGTTCGAGATCCCTGAGGAATCACCCCACTGTCTTCCACAATGGTTTAACTAATTTACACTCCCCCCAAGAGTGTAAAAATATTCCTGTGTGATACTCCCCTCCCTGTATCCATGCATTTTTATTGTTCAACACCCACTTATGAGTGAGAAGGTGTGGTGTTTGGTTTTCTGTTCTTTTGTCAGTTTGCTGAGAATGATGGTTTTCAGCTTCATCCACATCCCTGCAAAGGACATGAACTCATCCTTTTTTATGACTGCATAGAATTCCATGGTATATATGTGCCACATTTCCTTCATCCAGTCTATCATTGATGGGCGTTTGGGTTGGTTCCAAGTCTTTGCTATTGTGAACAGTGCTGCCATAAACATTCGTGTGCATGTGTCTATAATAGAGCGATTTATAATCCTTTGGACATATACTCAGTAATGGGATTGCTGGGTCAAATGATATTTCTAGTTCGAGATCCCTGAGGAATCACCACACTGTCTTCCACAATGGTTTAACTAATTTACACTCCCCCCAAGAGTGTAAAAATGTTACTATTTCTCCACATCCTCTCCAGCATCTGTTGTCTCCTGATTTTTTAATGATCGCCATTCTAACTGGCCTGACGTGGTATCTCAATGTCGTTTTGATTTGCATTTCTCTAATGACCAGTGATGATGAGCTTTTATTCGTATGCTTGTTAGCTGCATAAATGTCTTCTTTTGAGAAGTGTCTGTTCATATCCCCATAAGTTAATTTCTTTAACCTGGGACTTTGTTCATAGAAATTGAGAAGGACTGAAACACTTTGAATAAACTACACACACATTTATTAGTTAAATTGTTAACAAAGGCACATCAATAGCTACTTACTATATAGAAAGAGATATAATTAACACAGATACAATTCTCTCTTAACAGCCATTTTTTCCAACAAAGAGTTGTTCGATTCTTTGTCATAAAGGCTAACAGCAAAGTCTTAGTCCCCATCTTATGCTTTCCCACCCTCTTCTTGAGAACTACATTGCCTACTACACCTCTATGAGTTGATCGTCATCTTCTGTAGCCATAAGGTCTCAGAAGCATGCTGACTGCAGGATCCTCAGATTATTTCTCCATTCCCTCAAGTCCAGTTTTTAATGAACAGGCTGCCTGCTTTAGCAGGTGCTGTTACGTCTCTTCATCCAGTCACTCTGATTTTTTAAAAATCAATCTTTCTTTGTACTTGTACATGCATGTATTGCATTACATCATGTATGAAGAGATACTTCCCTCTCTCTCATCAGGAAAACTGGATGTGTGTGTGCATATCTGTTGCACTTAGCACTAGATGCCCTGCCTGCCCCTTCACTGTGTTCTTTCCATGTACAACACAAAAACACTGGGCTACACTGACCAGAACTGCCTTTTTATACTAATTTCTGTATCCACTTTAGAATGCTGTGCTTTTGCTTTGGAAATGTTTGTACAGATGGGAATCAGATAGTCTGTCCCTCTCACAAAGCTTACCCTATTTCCTGGTGGCTGCCCTTTGCATCCAAAATCCTGTTTGGAGCTTTTGGCTTTTATTCCCGAGACACCCCCTGTCCTCCTGCCTAAGGGAGTAGTGTAAGTCAGGAACTGAAAGAAACAGCTGGGAGGGTTTAGTTAAATGTGCATTTCTAGTACAGGAAAGAGCCAAGTGAAAAATCAGAGAGCGTGTGTCCGTCTGTTGAAGTTAAACAAATATAGTCATTAAATTAATTCAGAATTATAATCATATATCGGGCCTGTCACTGTATCATGCTCTCTACAGGTGATGACCATGGGAGTGCATTCTGGTCAGTGGAATTTTAGGATGTTCACTATCTAGTCAGCATTTTAGGTTCATTATCATATCAGAACTTTCCTGATAATAACAAAATTATGAGTCTTCATTTTTTAGCCTTCCTGAGGTGGTGAATGACTGCATTGCTTATGGGAACTCCATCTCTGCACCTAAACACTGAGACTCAATGCCTAGAAGTTTGCTTAAGTAAAATATACCTCCCTTATCTATGCATGTAGCTGTCTGATGTTTGCCCACGGAAAAGTCATGCCTTTTTAAATGTGAACACTTCCATGAGGGGCAGCACATTTAGTACAGCTATTCTAGAACACCATAGGGTAATTCGTCTGTTAGATCTCAACTATGAGCAGTTCTCTATATTCTGAGAAGCCCAACAGGAAAGTACTGAAGGGGAAAATTCCAGATCTATCAAAGAAAGCAGGCCTGATAATTTGTTATTATGAGGATTTTTGAGGGCCAGAGGCCACCATGAGGGATGAGAAAAGGATGCTGTGCAAAGAATTTGAAAAGTACCCAAGACAAACTTGGCTTACATCTGGTTTTGCCTGTGGGTCGACTTTCTTCCAGCCAATAGAAACTCCAAATCCCCACTTTGATGATGGTCGAAAATGCTTGCCCTGAATTCTTACCTATCATTCAGCAGCTTCAAAGAGAAAGACATTAACTGAATTCTGAAGAAGCCAAAGACCTCTTGTAAATATCTGTATACTGAACTGGTGTTAGTGCTGGTATTTATCAGACTCACAGAAACACATACAACACATTAAATGGCTCAAAATTGGCTCATCAAGAAAGGCCATTGTGGGAACCACCTTAGAAATCGTAAAACAGGGCACAAGGGGCAAGGGAACTATGTAGAGGGCAGCTGACACTTGACAAGGACCCAACCTCCTCCCTAACTCTCTTCACTGTTAAGAGACACATCAGTAATACTTTGCTCTGCCACAGCCTCTGATCTAAACTTTCTTCACCCAGTTTTCTATCAGCCCGAGTCCAGAACAGTGGTCAATGCAGAGAAGTTCCAGATTCACCTTTTTGAAGCATTTTGAAATAAGGCAGAATAAAGTATTACCAAAGTACATTTACTTTCTTAAAGAACACAAATGATCGTCCTTTTATTCCTGTGCCATTTGTTGAAGATAACCAATTTTAATTGGGAGAAAACATTTTAATGGAAAAATTCATGCATCTCATTGTTATGAAACGATTGATGCCCATCTGGAAAGTATGAAATGAACAACACTGGTTTCATATGTTCCACTGGGGATGCAGGATAGAAATGAATAACTGGCAAACAGAAATTTCTAATAATGTATCTTAGAATATGCTTTAGGATTTCTGAGGCACAATAGAAACTAGTAAGCTTTCTCTCAAAATTTTTACTTTTCTTTTACTAAAATAGAAGTATCTTGTGTTAGTAACTTCAATCTTACAGATGTAATAGGCCTAACATGATGGATCTATTATCTACATAATTCAAAATACTGATGTTATTATTGGAAATAAGTTTATGTATGAAATATAACATGAGCCAAATCACAAATTTAAATTTCATTTTAGAATATTAGGATTAATATATTAGAGCATGAGTAGCCTTCAAGTGAACTCCCAGTGAACATGGATTCATAAAAAAGACATAACAAAGAAGTTTATGCACTTTATTAAAAGAACAAAAAATAAAGAAGTAGCATACTAAAATGAGCTGCAAAATGTGCACTTTTAAACATAAACACTATACTACAGCACTATAACTTGAAAAAAAACCAAAGCATCTGCAGTTGAAGGAATGAGCTATTGCATTTTGGAGGAAAAATACTATGGGAAGAGTTTGTACTCATGAAATATTCTGGTCATTATTTAAATCTATAATGTTGCACAGGGCTAATAATTTTCTTATATATATTTTTAATTGTCATTTCCACCCAAATTATGTGCTTCCATTTTTCACATTATTCCAAATTGTTGTTATATGAATGCATAAAGTTAGCTCTTTAAAAAAATGTATTTAGGAAAATCCTTTAAAATTTTTAAAATTAAAATCATTGTAATTTGGGAGCATGGGGACAAATGGCTCGTTTTATATTAAAGCAGCAACAATAATATTAAAAAGAAATTCATTTTGAAAAGGGCATTCATTCTCATAATCCAGTGATATGATGGTCATATCATTCTCTCAACTGCTAGATACAAAAGACATAGCAACAAAATAATTTGTTTCCATCACTAACATATAGCATCTCTACACAGAAATAAAGCTCTGGAACCATGCAATTTTATGACAGATAAATCTTTAGGTTGTATGCTTTGGGAGAAAAAAAAGCACTGCTTAATAAGTCTTGTTGCAGAGGTATTTTTTTAAAAAAACTAATATGATGTAGCTGCCTAGCGAGGATTTTACAATACCTGCAAAGAGCTGCAACTTATTTCATAATGATTCATCTTTTCTTTACATATATAATAATTGTGGATGGATTCTATTTAAAGATAAAATTTCTCTTCAATAATCCAGCTTTTGAGTATTAGTGATTCTCTTACAGGCAAGAACAACTGGAAGGGCTGGAAACAGCACAAATTAGTCAAAGTAAATACTTTCTTGAGCTTAGTAATAGAGGTTTTTTGTCAGCCTCGGTTACATGCATTTGTTATACTTAATTCCATAATTTGTCTTATTTATTGAAACACAGCCTCTATGATGAAACCCCAGAGTATGACCTGGTGGCTGTCAACATGCACACCATGCCATCTACTCTATCTTTTGTGATGATTCTATGGTTATTCCTACTTATTAATAGGTGATTTTTCCTGACTTAAAATGTCATATCTCTATTGACCTTAGAAAAATATATTATTGAATCTGGAAGATTCACAAAGAAATGTCCATATCAGTACACAGGTTAAACTGGGAAATTATGTTGGAGATAAGACTGAAGTTGGAGTTCCTGACTACAGAATGAAGGAATGCTTACATTTTATATCAGTGGAAATGCTGGTCAGATTGTCAGGCTGTTTGTTGTATGGCTAACTCTAAGTGATTATGGGCTGAGGGAAAGAAAATTCTAGCCAACTGGCCCTGAGGTATTGGACAACTGTAAGGCTTGGATTGCTTTCTGGCTTTGGTTTATTTTTCTTTCTCTGTAAGAACGAACTATCAAAACGAGTAGCAATAGCAACTCTACCAACCCCAGGACGGGCTCCTTCTCTAGGTACTCGAAGTACCTGTGGTGATTAGATGCTTACCCTTTCTAACTTTGACCTATTCTAGGTCTCATTGCCTGGGGGCAAAAAGAAAGTTAAGTGGCTATCTATAGGTGTTGTGGGAGCTAAAATGGGCAGAGATGGTCAGACACTCTCTTCCAGCTCCTATGTTATGTAAGATTTTGGCTGGTTCTCTTCTGTTTAGTTAAAACAAAACAGTGGGAGGCTGAAGTGGCACAGTGAAGTACTTTGTAATCTGGTAAAGGTAGGTCAGAAAACAGCTTCCACTGAACAGGTATAATGTAAATAAAGCCAGTTATAAAGTTGTGCCAGGGGCATTTTTTTTCTTTGTTGAAGGGAATGAACTGCCCTATGCAGGCCATCCTTAACTCTTAAATATAATCTTTCAATGGTTGCCAATTTAGTTTTGGTAACTGGATCTTAAAGGAGGAACAGTGGTCAGTATTAACAATTTGATTGTCTCTTAAATATCTATGAATTGATAAACATTTTAACTGACACAGATATCAGCTGATCACTGTCTTTGAAAGATGAAATCTGATTCTATCATAACGGGACTATCTATCTTGAAACATACGAGGTATTTCACTGCTTGCAACCACTGAAAAAGGAAAATTTGTTCTAGAAACCTGCCTGGTGTGTGTGTGTGTGTGTGTGTTTTATAGTGGGTGATTAATTTAAACAGCAAACAATCTTTGCTAATGATCTTATTAAATGATAAAGCTATTCTACTCCTGTTCAGTGCTGTTAGCTGAGGTTGACCTGTTACTTGTTACTAGCTTTCTCTTTTGGTGACCTGTAGCAAACTAGAAAGCCTCCATAACAGCAAAGCAACTTTATGCTTTAGTTAAGTCTTAGAGCAAAAACGCCCTTCTTTTCAAAGCCTTAGAAATAACTCTCTTACTAACTTTTCCACTATTATCACAGACTTCTTACATTTAAAAAAAGCTCCATGGGTTGCTTTCATGGACTATGTACATTAAGTGCAAAAAGGTGTGTCTCACACATCCGCACCCTAACTGAGACAGTCAATTAACTGCAGCATATGTTTCTTAAACACTGTTAAGGGTCATTCCACAGTATCTTTATGTATAGTTTTAAAAATATGAATTAATTTCAAAAGAGGCTTTAGTCATGCTTTAATCCTCATGCAGATATATTTGTGTATGTAATGCAATGACTGTATTTTGAAGTCTCAATACTGTGGAATAACCCAATCCACACAACAAATTCTATAAACTATCAAGCCTGATTCTAGAATCCATGTGTTATAAACTTTTTCACAAAAAGTCACACAAGGACACAAATTCAGCTTTTATATATGGGCCTTTGGGATTTAAAAAAGGACTCAACCATGTCTGTTTTCAGAGTTTTGAGCTGCATCTTCTACATGCTCATAGTGTCACAAACTACCTATAGTTTACAAGTAAAATGTTCAGACACACAAATGTCTAAAGGTAGCCATGTTGTAGTTTTGCCGCCAAAGCAACAACTAAATATAATTAGTCAACAATGATTATTTGTATATAAAGTTAAGTTTTTCTTAAATTGTGAACTGTGAAGGAAAATTTTGGACTATAATCTGTATCTTGTAATACTTCAGTGTCAGTTTAGAACCTAGCTAGGTGAGCTGAATCCATGCAGTAAAAGCTTAAACTTTCTTCAACTTTCCTTCAAAATTAGATTCATTAGTTACTTAGAGCTACAGAAAAGCAATAAAATAAAACCTTAAAAATGAACAATAGGAAAAATAAAAACATGGTACCAATTAGTGAGTTATATTTACAGTTTGATTAGGCTAGCAACTAAATTTACAAAGAAATTGTTATATTCTTGGACATGCTATTTATTCTAGTGCCTTCTATAGGCACTGGTTAAACAAGGCTACTCTCTTAGTATATCTATTCATCAGAATTGGGAAATCAGATTTCCCTAACAAATTTTACCTATTTCAGTTTCAATTTGTGTGAAATGTATTTGAGAGAAAAAGAATGAGGACTTCAGTTTCTAATTATTGTGTACCTCATAGCCTACCCTACAGACTAAAGGAACTCAGAAAACTTGTGGCTGCATTTTACCTCAGAGCATCCTCATGTATACTCTTCAAAGGGGCACAGAGAACCAAATAACATTTCAAGTAGCACAAGGACTTTCTCTCTTATTTAATCAAATGTAATGTAAGTATCATTCCTTATTCAGACATCACTATGCTTATTGGTAATGCTACTTAAAACACATTCAATTTGCAAAGATCAATTTCATTCGGTTTCTGCTGATAGTAGGGAGGAGGTACTTTTTTTCCCAAATTGGGGAGCAGCTGATTTGAGGCCCTCCTATTAGTGAACACCGCCTAGTGATAAAGGACAACACTTATGGCAAGATCAAAGTGCTTCAGCATGTTCAAAAATGGATGGAGAAAATTGATGGAGTAGAGAGAAGATGACTTTCCACATCATGATTAACTACAAATTAAAGCCTCTGATCTAGAAAAGTGAAATGAAATGCCACAGCTGGTTGTGGAATCATGCTCCAGTTGAAAAAGTAAATACTGTATTTAAATAGCAATTTTATGAATCCATTTATTTTAATTTAATCTTAATCCCTCTTTAAAATATATGTATGTTATGGTCACGTAGTACTTTTTTAAAAAGTTGACACTACTAAAACCCTCTTAAAGATAACTTTTAGATTATTTTCTCTGTATACATGACCCTTTTTATCCAAGTTTCAGCACTCTTGCATATTTTTGCAAAAGGCTGAGAAAAATGGATGAAAACAATAATTTTGGATAAATAAAAAGAAGCCCCTGTAAAATATAAAGCTTATAAAATGTTAACTAAGAATCATAAGTGATTAGAATTTTATATATACAATTAATCCAGTAAATTTTTGTTTAGAGTCACTGATTTGCTTTGTGACTTGTCTTTTTAAATGGAAATTTATAGTCTAGTGACTTATCTTTCTTCTTTTCTTTTCTTGAATAAAGATAGTTTGAATAAGTCATTGCACATCTAGTTTAAAGAGTGCCATCTTAAAATTGTATTTTTTTTCCTCAAAACTCTTGAATTTGATCAAAACTTTAGGGCTTTGAGCTTTCTTTCTTTCTTTAAACTCATTTATAAAGTAACTTTTAAAATGCCAACAGTGTAGAAAATTGTGGCACCAAAAATACAATCACCCTAAATATCTCCCACTGAACTTTTTACTAAAAAGTAAGTCATTGTTCATGTCTTCCAGTGGTTAATGCAACATGAAAACAGCTATACTCTAGGTTATCTATACTCTATGTACATCTTTGCCCAAAGTTGAAAAAGTTAAGTGAGATAATATGTTGCATGCAGATGTCAAACTACACACAAGTTCATTTTGCACAAAAAAGTTCTTGTCTCTTTTAAGAAATATATCCATACTAGCTCAGGTGCATCCCTCCTGGATTCATGTAATCAGATCTACTCTTCTGGAGAGGCACTGGCACAGATCATACAAAACTCAGTTCCATACATGAGGAATTTCAAAAAGGCATATGTTACTTTCTTCTGTAGCAATGATAAGATTTCAGAAACAGAAATTAACTGGTTCAAAGAGTCCATAGGTAAAAGGACAACTCTTGATCTCTAATCCCATGCAACACTGTCAAACAGATGACAATGGATCAATACAAGCAAGGCTGTTTAGAAAGCACTGTTGATCAAGATTTGGATAGATAATTAAGATCAACAGAATATCAATTCCCAGAAAGCTAATTTTGCTTTCTTGTATTCTGAGCCAAATGTGTCTACCTTGGGAGAGAGCCTCAAATGTTCTGAAGCACAAAAAATCTGGAAAGAAGGAACAATTGGAGGCAGGAGACATTTCTGGGTCCCACAATGGCTAGGTAGCCTTGGGCAAGTCATATACCCCTGACCTCAGTTCCATCAAGTATGAAAATTATTTTGCTAACTCCATTGTTCTGTGATTCAAACACGTCTAGCCAGCTTAAGGCATCCTCAATCAGATTTGCTTTTTACTTGTCATGGTTTTATACTTTCTGGTGGAAGAACACCTATTTACTAGAAAATGTTAAATCTATTAGTTGATGTAAAATATCATATGTTTCCACCACTGTATAATAATAGTAACATTAATAACTGAGTAGAGTGGATGAGATATGTCACACACCACAGGAATTAATTACTATTTGGTTATAAAATTATTTCATAAGTATTAATAATGTGAATTCAGTTGAGCTCTGTGGAGTACAGCTACTCTGTCTCATCCAAAGGGTGCTAAAACCCTCTTTATTGTCATTTTCAAACATATATAAAGGCAATCAAATGCAAAAAAGCAAAAAACAGGCATGGTTATAATGTAAGAGGCTCTAATGTTAAAGTTTGGGCAGAGGGACACTTGCCATATATCACAGATGCTTTCTCCTCCACTGAACTGTTTAACAAAACGAAACTCAGTTGAACTGAAGGTAAAGACAACTACAACCATCTTTTCCAGTTCATTTGAATAAATCAAGGAATAATTGTAAGTGCTTCCCTGTTCTTGTTCCAGCCATTTCTCCAAACCTGTACTTAGACTCCCTCTGTGATCAATACAGAAGATAGTTCATTTGGGGAGGAAAGTCCTCATTTGTAACCAATTCTCTTTCACCCTGACTGACTTTTGCTAGATTGCATCTTATTTGTTATTCAAAGAGTAGTCTAAAGAGCATGATCCATTTGCATTTGGAAAATGGCACTTGTGTAAAAGGTGACATGGCCATGGTTTTACACACTTTCCTCCAGTATGTAAAAACTATCTCTAAACCCCCACCTCTGTTTGATTTATAACTTGTAATTAGCATATTTTAAGCTCCCAAGCATCAGTTTCTCAGCTGAAGATGACAAATGGCTCAGTTTTAGACACTCAACCTAGGAGATAGGATTCTCAAGCCACACACACAAAAATCCAATGAGCACTTTACACAACTTTTAGTATAAATGCTGAGAAATTCATTTAAAGGTAAAATCTTATTTTCCAAGCTATTTAAGAAAAGTGAATTAGGGGTTAATATTTTATGAAGTTCTCTGCTTTGTGCAGGTAATTATTTCTCTCTTTTTAAAAAATCTAGCAATTTGATTGTATTATGCAATGTAAGTTCTGCAGGTACAAATTATACACATGCATGTCAATGAGCAGGTTTTGTGCACACTCAAAAGTGAGGCATTTTAAATGTCAGTCCCAAGAAACCTACAGAAATAGTCTAAAGAGAGAGAGCATATTTGCATGAAACTGTCATGTTTTTAAGCATATACTTTTGTTCCCCACTAATAACATTCTAGTTGAAATCAAACACCACACATATCCAGCAAAACACTACAGCATGTAAAAACCTAACATAGCACAGCACAGTACAGTACAAGAAATGGTATTGAATATATTTGTTACATCCTGAATCAAGCCAATATACTATCTTGTAAACAAAATCAAAAACAGATGACTAATTTATCCACCAAGAATGTATACAGTAAGCCAATAGCTCACTCTGGAAATTCACTTAGCATGATGATTAGAAAATGACAAAGAGTAATGTAACAAGTTACCAAATTTTATGGTCATGTTCTGCTTGATAATTCAAATAAGATGGATGGTAGTTATTAGCTTTCTATTCATGTTCTGTTTTAACATCTCCATTGATTTTTAATGCTTTATTTTTTATTTGAATTTGCTGGCTGGCAGGTTTGTTTTGCTTAATATATTGACTGTACCACGCTTATTGTAGTGTTGGTAGAAGAAGAAATACAAGAATATATATAGAAGGGCCATATGGAGGTTTCCACGGAAAGATTCTGATACTCCATAACTCTGCTGTTCAGTATTTCAGCTGAAATGGAAAAAAAAAGAAAGAAAAAAAGAGTGAGAAATATTGAAGGGTTACTGAATGAACAATCAATAGAGTGCAGGTCTTGTTCCAGTTGTGTCAAACAGTGACAAAATATCCCCACTCTGAATTTCACATTGAAATGGGACTACTGAGAATAATCATGAAAGAGCCATGTATATATGATAGTCTATGGCACCCTTTGAGTGCTAATGTGGAGAACTTCCCTAAGCTAACAGAGACGCACTCCAACGTCGAAGGCATTATCTATCTACTCAATGCCAAAACTTTTCATTGAACGTCCACCCATGTGTCCACCTCTGTCAACTGGCATGTACTGAGAAAACATGTTTGCTAACAAACATTTTGAAATATGCAAATATTAAATACGCTTTCAACTTTTCTCTGAATGTTTTAGAGCCATGCAGAAATAGCCTAATTGTGAAATCTGGGCATTGTATTGTACAAAATTACATTTTTAAACTTTAGAGACATTTTCAGCACCAATTACATATTGAAGTGATTATGTTCTAGCAAATACCTCTGTATTTGCTGACAAAATCAAGCAAAAAGGAATCACTCTTCCCAAACATGCTCTGTTAAAAAGTTAATTTGACAACTTTTGTTTACCTTGATGTAAAGCAACACATGAAAGTTGGGCAAGTGTCGGTAAAACCTACATTCTCATGTTTAGTGCTATTCCCAAGTTGCCATTATCCCAAATGACACCCCTGGAAATGATTACAATTTATAGCTCCGTCATTTATCCCATGTACTCAAATGCACCTTTTAAAATCCTTCCTTATGATCGAGGGGACCTATTTATTTAATGTCCAGTCAGCTATCAGCTCTGTCCAGAACACTTAGTGTTCTGAGCTCATATGTCCTCAGCAGGAAAGAAGGGCTAGCTGGGATCTGGGGAATTAGTTCACTAGCTAACAGAACTGCTGCCTCCTTCAACCAAATGACACTCTCCAGGTGTGAGAACTTCAAACTTATGATGACGAAGGTATGCAATTCAGAGTTGGTACACTATTTTAGTAAGTCCCTGGAGTTGGTACACTATTTTAGTAAGTCCCTGGAATTAATTAAAATACCCAGGAGTCTTCAGCGGCTTCGGAAGTCACATGTTCTAAGTGAATGGTTGCTCGAATGAAGTGTGTGCCACAATGAGCAGCAGGCGATGAGGAGATCGAGGGTAAAGGAGGAAAAAACTCCCACGACAACAACCAAACATTTTAAAAAGAGACATGATTGGAATGAAAATAATGACTCAATTACTAAATTATGTCACTCAAAATTCAAAACAATGTCACATGAGAAGCATAGTCCTTACTGTGTTTAAGATAATCATCTCGGTGAAACCCTGAAATTTGATTTTCAAAAAAAAAATGAAGCTATAAAATGGTTGAAGAATTACAACTTAAAAGTAATCTGTGCCTATGGCTAACAAATCATTTTCTTTTAATAACAGGAAAACATTCAAGAATGTGTAAGCTCATTGGGAAAAGACAGGACCAGCTGTCATTGCCATATAAAAAATATAGCATATTTGCTCTCACATTTCAATTTGGAAAACTTGTAGTGTGTAAATCAAACTCTAAGTCACAAGCAATGTCTATTAATGAAAATATTTACTAAAGCCTTTTAGTAAGTGCAACTGTGCAAATAAAAAATTTAACCTATAAATGTTATTTATATTAATACTTAAAGAAACTTACTGTTCTACTGGGAACGTCTACATCTGTGAAACAAACATGCTGCTATTCAGTTCATCTACTGATAATTGGGGCATCTATAGTAGTAAAAAAGATTTTAGATTAAAATAGTTTCTTGAGATAATTATGTTGTTATATATGTGGAACTCTTAGTCTATAAGTATGGTTACCACTTTAATAAGGCAAAATCGCCCTAATATTATACAATACTTATTCTATGTATCTCCTTATAATTTCAATACTCCCCCCAGACTTATAATTTGCATTGTGAACTCTGCCTAGAAATATCTAAAGCAAATAAAAATCAAAGCAACAAGCACATCTAATGTCCATATGAGAAGGAACTTCTAATGCAATCACTGGGAAATGATAAGGATATCTGTGTCTTGGAAAGAAATGTGATATTTTGTTTTCTTTCCAGTGGATCTGAAGGGAAAGGTGATGACTGTACCAAGCCAAAGTTTAAACATAATAATCAAAAATGGCAGTAAAATAAAATAAATTCTTCTCTTGACCAATGAGGAAGCATTTAAGAAATATTAAGTATATACATTTGAGGATTGGTGTGTTACCAACAATTAGATATAGAATATGAAGAGCGACATCTGGTAACCAATTAAAAATGAGCAAAACTCCACTGATTCATCTTGGGATGAATAGCAAAGCACATATAGCACTCTAGAATACACACACAAATAAAAATTCTAAATGTGACAGTGGCTTAAGAAACACAGAAGAATCTCACCAATCCAAAAAGCATATACTGTGCATTACCAAAACATTGTAGTTATCTTGATCTGAACAGCTGAAATAAATGGCCAAACCTGATTGCCTGTAGTTGTTGCAGCGAAGGGCACGCTGGTGGCAGGTGTTGTTGCTGCAGACACAGTGGTAGGTGTAGCACCGTGCATCATGGGCACTTTCAGTTGAAAACCATAGAAGCAACACACAGGAGCGTGGAGGATTTATGCAACCATGACATTTATGATGGAATGAGGTGTGGTAGGTATCACAGCAACAAGCAATGTGACATCATAATGACGAATACATCAGGGTGTCATGCAATCACAGTCAGTGCAAAGCAACACAGTATGGAAGGGGGAAAATTAAAAAGAGAAAAGGGGAAAGCCAATTATAGTTACCAATATGGAATATGGAACCATTCTCAACATTTAGTAAGTTTTCGAGCAGAATCCCATTGTAGTTTACTCAAAAGCCTAAATTTTTAGAAGGAGCTATAATGGATGCATATGAAAATCCGATGTTACAAGGGCTATCTATGTATCTGAAGCTAGTTAAACAGACAAGTAATTGGATTGCACATTCAAAATGGAATTAGGGAATCATAAATTGGAATTTACGCTCACTGACTTACGGACATGAATGCTGTCACTAGATTTACAAGTGCAAATGGACAGTTATATGTATACTTACCTGATCTGCATGCAATGACATGGTAGGTTGACTGGTTGGTATGTGGCAGGGATGCAGATATGAATAATACAGTGAACTGCATGCAGGGTTTTAAGTACATCTCTGGCAAACTCCTAGGAAACTTTGGCCATTTATCAAATACATGGAGTACTTCATAGTAAGTCTTGTCCTCACAGCAACTATTATAGCTACAATGGTTAGTAGCTGTGAAATCTCTGCAGGATGTTTTCCCTTTGCCTTTTCTAGTTCCTCTCTCATTTAGAAAGTGTTCAGGCTGCTTTCTGATGTCTAGCTCATTTCAGAAAGCAAACTAGGGAATTAATGTGTGAATGGCAAGCATGCATATGTAATAATTTATCATGTATACAAAGATCAATTCAGATTTTCTGAAAGTCTACAGAGAAAATGAACGGCCAGAGAGAGAGAGAGAGAGAAATTGACATGTGCAATGCCACAGAAACTGAAAATGTACCCCAAATGGTGATTAACAGAAACTCCATAGTTATCGCTTCTCCTCATCTCTCTAGTTACCCATTGCCCAGAGCCATCCCTGTTGTCTCACATGCCAATTCTAAAAACACTCTTGTTTTCCCTTTGGGAGTGCAGCAATTGTACAGGAAGCAGACTCACTAAGGAATGCAGTTTGCATTCCTAAGCAGAGCTCTGAAAGTGAATGGACAAGGGAACATCTCCAAGAAAGCTCACAAAATATGAAGGCAAAGACACATTTCTCAAACTTGCAGAAGTCTGTTCTAATTGTATACATTATGATTACAATGTATACATATTGTGCTCCTGTTGGTATTAATAGAAATGTTTATTATTCCTACAGAAGACAGTCAAACCCTCAGTAACAGGGGCCTCACCTCCACTGCCAGGGTTCAGACCTCATTATATTAGAGAGTGCTGCTACTATGTGGTTGTCATTTTGACCTTTATTCTCAAGAAGCCTCTTACTGGTGCCTTTGAGGCTCTGTATCTACTCTGGTCCACCAAGGTGACAAAGGTCAATTTGTTGCAAACTCTCAAAAGGGTGGGGATGGCCTGGATTGATATGAGATGGTAGAATGGGACAGGGTGGGATCATTTCTCCTTGCATAAAATAGCGCTATTTTCTCCTGTTCCTGGTGCCCATGAGGACTGTAGGAGCTGTGAACCCCCCATTCCTTTCTCATGCTCTTCGGTATTAGTGCTGAATAAAATGGTTTAGAGATGGCTACCATATTGTGTTAGTGGCTAACAAAAGGCTCTGTATGCAAGTGCTTGTTAAAAAATCACATAACACCCAGAGTCATTTTAAAATGATTCTGTTGTGCCTAGCTTCTGTGCCATGGCGCTTCAGGCTAGGACACTACAGAATTCATTACAGAACACTGCAGAATGCTCTGACTTTGCTGAACTCATCCTCTTGCAACATGGGAACGGTGAATGCTTTAAGTCCTATAGATAACTTTTTCAGGGAGGAATTGTTTCATTGAACGTTACAAGTTAGACATTTTAAGTATTTTACAATTTTTAAATAATACATGTTAAGCAAAGAACAAAATGGCCCAGTCTGGCTAGTTTCAAATACTGAAAAAGGAACCTTTTAAAATATTTCAGTTGCTACTGTTAGGGTAGAAATAGAGAAATGACAGGGCCAGAATTTGACCACAGTGGCAACCAACTAGGATTTGAGAAAGCAGGACTATTTTGATGCTACAAAGACATAAAACAGAAAACACCATGTTAAACCTTTACATACTCAGAACATTTCCAGCCACATATTTCAGTCATTCATCTTTCATAGTCACAACAGAAAAACACATTTTTCAGATTAGCAAATGTCGAGAATTTTTATAGAAAAACCTACCAATACTTGAAGCGGGTGCCATGCACAGTATTGGCCCTGTACACCATGCAGAAAAGCATGGAAAGTAAAGAAAAGAGATATTTGATTATTAAGGATTTACTGATAGAAATACATTTATTTTAACTAGAAAGAGTATTTCTTTGCAATATCAATTACTCAGCACATGCGAGTCCAACAATTTCCCATGTTTACAATTACAAATTAGCTTTAAGATCAGAAACCCAGGTAATCAAAATAATTCTTGGATTCTTAGGTACAAAATGAGCTATAATTTTTCTGTAAAAGAATCAGCTCACTTAAATTACGTATTTATTGTGGACAAATGCATCCTAAATAATTTTTATCATAAGAAAGAGAATGTTAATTTATTATACATATCATTTTTCAAATACACTCCAGAATCTTGTATCTGGTGTCTGTATTTCTGTTTAGGGTAGTAATCTATTAACACTGTCTCCTCCACTGCCTCTTAGTCAGTAGGACTGAACTATGAATATATGGCCAACAGGCTTTCCCTTAAGAGAGACCTCTTAGCTGGACAGGCTTTTATGTTGCTCCTAATTAAGGGGAAGGGAATTTTTCTAACATTTTTGCTTATGAAACTAGATTTTATGTTGGCCAAACCTGACAAAAAATTCAAACTTGGAACCAAAGTAACTGTAGTATTAAGAAAACCTATAATGAACATACATTTTATTATATTCAACCACCTTGACTATTGAATTCATTCCATAGCTGTAATACAAATTGGAAGTAGCCAAGGTAGAGTGATCTCATGTGTAGGTAGGTCACCATAATTTTTGAAGAAAAAAAACGCCAGGAATAAAGTCATATCAGCTCATACTGGCTTTATGTTTTCCTGAGTGGACATTCTGTAGTTTGGTTCTCAGGCTGGGAGAGCAGGTCTAAACTGTTAGATAGCAGCAGCTGCTTATTGTAAGGGACATAACAAAGTGCTGAGAATCCCATACTTCCTCTCAGAAACTATTATGTAAATGTATAAAAATGGTATAATTTAAATGATGGCATGAAGGATTACTGTGCTTACTAATTAAAGACTGGTGTTTTAATGGTACCTTTAAAAATTAATTCACTGATTTATTTACTAATTAGCCAATAAGTTTTCTCAAGTCCCGGTATTAACAAGTATTTCTAAATTATTGTTTTTAAACATACGTTATTTTCATTTAAAAATAGTTTCCAAACTGGGGCATTTAGCATTCTGGCAAAAAAAAAAAAAAAAAAAAAAAAACAAATAACCAAACCTACTGTACTCCCAGTGGTTAGAATTTTCAACTTATTCCTAAGAGACTATATGCTCATTCTTAAACTACTAAACCACTGGAAGTAAATTATTTCACCCTAATATATAATATCTACTTGAACAAATTTCTGGCTTAACATTTTCTATTCAATTTGGTGCCAAACAGGCTTTTAAATATAGCTGAATGTAGGGGATAACGAAATATGCTGCAAAATGTCAAAAAATATAAATTGCTATGTATTTTATATTAACTGGTTCAAGAGTTACAGGCTAAAACGATCTTTTTAATGTAAACTATACTATACTGTGCATTTAAGGGTAATTTTATTTTAACCACCTTAGGCATATAAAAAATATACAGACAATGCATTTCCACAATATTGAAGCTGGGAAGTTTTTCTTTTCTTGTCTTTTCTTTTTTTTTTTTTTTTGACAGCACTTTACTGTCTGTGAAAATGACACCTAAGAGTCAAGGAATTAGTTTGAGACTAAACCAAGTGAATTAACCATAAGCAAAAACCAAGAAATGCTAAAAGGAAAAATGTTGATATCTTTTCCTAGTTTGATTTCAAACCATGAATTTTTGTGAATTATAAAAAAACAAGTAGTTCTAGATAGCAGCAGACAAGCATAACTTCCTTGTTTTATTTTTAATCAAAATACATGTCAACGGTCCCCCTACAAAAGCTCTTTGAAAGCTGCTTTGCACTGTTATACATTCACAGCATCACCAAGCTTGCTGCAGTGCCCAGAGCTGTGTTCTCACCTGCAGGGATATACGCCGGCTGGGGGAGTGGCAGGTTAGTCAGAGCCTGTTGGCAGTGAAAAACACTGGGATTAAAGACCGGGGTGGCACCATTCGGCTTTTCCAGTGCGGATCTCTTTGGTATCAGTTGCAATGTACCATGCTGCAGGGCCTGTAGGGCGAGAGATGGTACTAGTACTAGAGAAAATAACAAATGTGCTCAAACCAAGCAAGCACCATTTATATAAGGTATGTCCTGGAAATCCTCCATAACGGTATCCATTGGGCAAGACACTGGATAAGCAGTGGCCCCACAGCAAGGTAACCAACTGCAGAGATAAGGGGGTTCACAGCCGTGTGCAGTGGCTCATGCCTGTAATCCCAACACTTTGGGAGGCTGAGACCAGCAGATTGTTTGAGCTCAGGAGTTTGAGACCAGCCTGGGCAATATGGCAAAACCCCATCTCTACAAAAAAAATACAAAAACTATCCCGGCATGGCGGTGCATTCTTGTGGTCCCAGCTACTTGGGAGGCTGAGGGAGGACTGCTTAAGCTCAGGAGGTCAGGGCTGCAGTGAGCTGAGACCACACCACTGCACTCCAGCCTGAGTAACAGAGTGAGAGCTTGTCTTAAGCGGGGGGAAAAAAAGGCAGTCCACTAGATCAGCAGTAATCCAAAACAGAGAAAAATGCAAAAAAAAAAAAAAAAAAAAAGGTTTTCAACTTCACTAATTTAGACCTCATTTGAGCAGGGTGTGACAGAAATCTACAACAAACAATCATTTAAAACTAATATCTCAGGGATACTCATCTATGAATCTATAAAAGTGAGATTAGCAGAAGCAACAGATATAGCAGGAAAGACATTTCTGCCAGATAAAACTCCAATACAGATCTAGGACATAAATGGCATATAGGTGATAAAACAGATGTTGGTAGATGAGAGTCTGACACTGTCATTTCCATAAAATAAAATACAATTTATATAAAGGCTTCCAGTTCAAATCCTAAAACTGTATATTTCCTAACATGTAAGGAAGAAGCAAATGAATATTTCCTCCCCCACTGACTACCTCATCCAGGTACCATATAGATAGTTAGCAAAATATATGCAGTTCTTATTTATAGAGGCTTGCTGTGCATTTCAGTATGTACCATTTGCTTTGTTAAGTTATTGTAAGGTTTAATTCTAAAACCTATTAGCATTTTTAAAGTATCCTTTCATGTCTACAATTTTTTCAAAATCCCACTGTGCTTATAATACTCAGTCAAACTTGCCCTTGGATCAGATTCTCTGGAGAAGTTTAACGCCACTTTACTTTTTTTTTTTTCTCAGCAAATTGCACGTTACTTAATAAACATGTCCCAGCAACAACAATTAGGTATGTTCCAAATTTTTAAGGAAACAGGAATACTTGTGTTCAGTAACCATCCTGCCATGTGTCCAAAGGGTAATGCCATGACCTCGTTCCTGTGAATAACAAAGGTCTCAACGTATCTCTATTTTATTTTGGGAACTCTAGGTTAGTGCACACATTGTAACAGGTCTGCTTTTTATTTCACCTAAATAAAGAGAAGCATGCTAGAAGAGTAAGATAAAACAAGTTGAGGAGCTTTAGAGATATAAAATTTCCAAATTTATCCCAGTGGGCCAGATGACAAAGGTCAAGACTAAAATCACAAACCATAAAACAAAATCTATCATTTCAAATGCTTTTTATCACCATTGGGAGAAAATGGTTTTGCTGAACATTTTAACTGACTAAGGCAGAAGACTTACTTAATGGATTGTTAAAAAGATTTCCCTTTGGCATAAATGGGGAGTATCCCTTTCTCTTGAAAGTTGGCAGCATGGTATGATCATTGAAACCACAGCTATGTTGCCTAGTAAACTACAAATCGGGGCAAAACCTAGATGAACATTTGACAGGTAGACACTGGTAAGGCAGTACGGCTTGTTTATGGCTGGGGTTCATCCTGATGGGTCAGTGCCCAGTTCCAATTGGGTGGTGCTTGTACTATTAAACTCGTAAACTTGTCAAAGAGGTGTGAGACTGTGGATGAACTAAGTATCAACCCTTCATGTCTTTTTTTGTTTATTTTTTCATACAAACTGCTTTCTGTGAACTCAACCTGAGCTATACACATGAACAAGGTAAAAATCTACAAAGCATGGCCACTATGAGTCCTTAAAAAATACAAAAAGCTTGAATTTCTTCGTGAATCCCTCCTTTATTTAATCTTACCTCTATCAAATTCCTATGGGCCAACTTGATCTCACTGCTAAGATCCTGCTGTGATCAGTTACTTAAAAGGGAATTTTATATTGATATTCACAAGTAACAATTGAAGACCTATGATGTAATATTTAGCTCTCTACATGGAAATCTGGGGCTGACTTGTAACCTTTGCATTCTATCAAATGCACTCAAATCATCAGAAATGGACAGCTGCATACAAAGCCATTTTCGTAGCTGAAAATTCTCCCATTCAAAAGCATTTAAGACAAAAAGCATTTGGTAAAGTCTTTTTTAAATATTCATTAACAGATTATGTTGTTCTGATCAAGGAAAAAAATAAGTTTGTTCTATTTTGGTGCTCAGATCCTTCATGATGTAATTAGTTCAGTTCTGAAAAAAAGCAGAGCCAGTCCGAAAATGGTACTGTCCTTGAAACCATAACCTACTAGGAAAAGTAGGAGAAATTTGCAGTATTTGGCTTAGAGAAGAAACACGACAGTCACTCTCACTTGGAACAGAGATTGACTTCTTTTGTGAAGTTCCAGTTGCAGCAAGATAAATTTCAACTCAGTAAGAGGAAAACCTTCTTAATAGGGATGTTTGAAAATAAGTGTCTCTCTGTTGTGAATAGGCAAAGTCTCTGTCATGGGAGTCTGAACTATGAATGTTTACGAGGAGATTTAGATCACAGTGCATCTCCTAGGCTTCAAGGTCATTTCAGTGCTTTTTCCACACCCAGGGAACATGAGGTTTCCTGTGGGTTTTGTCCTTTATTGGGGCTGTTATGCCTTATTACACAAGGAAAGGTCCAGGTAGAAAAAGAAAGACATAGCAAGCAGCACATCAAAACAATGGACAGCTGTGGCAAACTTGAGTCATGAGAATTGCTCATTTTAAGTGATTACATTGCAGTGTTACACAAGTATTTCTTCTGCTTCCTAGCTTTCGGTGTTACTAAGCAGCACTAACTGTTCCCCCAAAATTGGCTTTCTATGGCAACTTAAAAGTTAGGCCTCTTGGCCGGGTGCAGTGGTTCATGCCTGTAATCCCAGCACTTTGGGAGGCTGAGGCAGGTGGATCACCTGAGGTCAGGAGTTCAAGACCAGCCTGGGCAACATGGTGAAACCCAGTCTCTACAAAAAATACAAAAATTCGCCAGAAGCAGTGGCATGCGCCTGTAGTCCCAGCTACTCAGGAGGCTAAGGCTGGAGAATTGCTTGAACCCGGGAGATAGAGGTGGCAGTGAGCCAAGATCATGCCACTACACTCCAGCCTAGGTGACACAGCGAGACTCCGTCTCAAAACGAAAAAACCAAGCAACCAACCAACCAACCAAACAAACAAAAAATTCAGGCCTCTGCTCCCAACCATATCAAAATTTCCCCCTAGACTAAGCAGGCTGCTCTCCTTGATACTATGCCTCCAGAGAGGAAGGTGGCCTTAACCTTTAGGAAATTGGAACCTACTTAATATCCTATGTTTTAAGTGTGCTGTTTTTAAAGGCATTAAGGATGTTAGTAGCAAAGTGCCCGTGAAAGTGGCTCACAGAGCAGAGGCAACTTTCTGCCTCTCTAGGATATTGAGGGCAGTGAAACTATAAAAGCACTCAAAAGTAACTGACTGTTTAAATCATATAATTTATCCTTTCTCTGAAAATGGGAAAAAGAGCACAGTAGGTTAAAAGCATTAGTAAAGCTTTTAAATAATTATCTTTAGAAAATCTTAGTACATAATGTAGAATAAATAGGTTTGTTCTCTTCCAGCTTATAACCTTGACTGTTCATATTAAGGTCCACTCATGACCATCCATTATTATGGTTACAGGATATTAGACAAATTGAGGAATATACAAATCATTTACTCTGAAACAGGCCACAACTCCAGGTTTTTCTTACCATGGCAGCTGAATGGTTCATCTGGTGATGAGCTGCCTTGAGTTTGGCTTGCAAGTGTGCAGGAGGATGAAAGTACTTGCATTTCTCCCGGGAGCATCGACCTTTGATGTAATCCATGCAGATTGTCACAGTATTATCACCCACTTCAATCATGGAAGCATCAGTAGGGTGAGCATAGCGGCAATCATTCTCCCCACGGGTACAATTTCCACGCTGAAATTCTCGACAAACCTTAGAGAGAACACACACATGCATATACACACATATCATATTGATGACCGGAAGCTGATTGGCTTTTATTTATTTTGCCAGTGAATGTAAGAGTAATTATACATACAATGGATATATTATTTAAGAACAAATCTAAAAAGATAAAGAATAATGTAAAGCCATATTCACTATGATATGTGAACTGACAGAATTTCTATTCCCAGAAAAAACTGCTATTCTCCCCAAAGGAAGGTTGTCCTTACATTGAAATAAAAATGTTTAAAAGTATTACTGAAAACCAGTTTTAATCCTCCAGTGAATACACAGCCTTGAGCGTAATTAGGTTTTTTTAAAGTCCAAGATGAGTCTTTATCACACAGCAGTGCACTGGTGGTTTTCCACAGCCAACTTGCGAACTATAACTGAGTTATATGCACAATCAAATTCTATTACAATACATCACCATGCATTTAAGGGGCTGCAAATGGAGCTGACTTTGTAAAGAAAAGACTACTTATTTCAATGTACAAAGAATAACAAGAGAAGAATGAAGGACTTCAATACATCAAAAAGCTGTTAGAAATTTCTTTTAGATTTTCTTTTCTTAGGCATCTGGGGTATTTATTACCTAGCACATCAGTCTTAAAATGGAGAAAGAAGTTTAGGCACTGTGAGACTTATTTACCTTCCATATTCATATAGCTTTATATTCTGCAATCATAGAGAGTTACATTGTCTACTTTTTTCCCGCTTTGATTATTCTAGCAAGTAGAGACTCATTAACAAATACAGTAATCTGTTTTTGAAAGCTGGAGCCTGGGTAACAGGAACACTCCCACAGAGGCTTCCTGTGCCATCTCACAGTCTATGGCTGGCTACACTTAAAATATTGTTTGACCTACGATACAGCTGAATCAATGCACATTATATCAAGGTATGATTGCAGTAGTAAAATTATTTAACATTTTTCTGAGGTTATACCTCATAAGCTAAAAAATTTGGGCACTCTTATTTAAAACACACAATACCTGGGCTCTGAGAATGCTGCTTTATGCATAAGGTTAATATCTATTCTACAGGTATTTATAGATATCTTCACAAATACCTCCAGTTTATCTGAACGCATCAGTTTTGGGCCAATGGCTCCTGTCAATGCGAGAGGTGGGTTTCCAGGAATCAGAACAGGTGGATTTGGTACAAGTTCCGCGGGAACCAGGCCCATCCCAGGATGTGGCATATAAGGATTGAAAGCCATGGGAGGATTTGGAAGTGACGGAGCCATAGGAAAAGAACCCTGTATGGTTAAAAGAGAAAAAAAGATGTTAGAGGTAAACAGATTCTCCCTATCATTACCCATGGAGGCATTCTTTCAGAAACATCAAAATTACTTATGCCATGCCACATCAAAATCTACCATTGTTTCTTCTGATTTATTTTTAGTCTTATACTAATTCCCATATAGGAGTTGCTTTTAAGCCAACAAATCTCTTTAATAACTGTATCGTAAGCTGATAAAATAAGCCGCATGATTTTAACAGTCATGAATTAGCCAAATTAAATCTCATCACTAGAGTCTGTTCCAAACATGTTTCCTTCAACTCTTTCTTTTTTCCCTAAAAACCATGTCAACAATGACATTACATATATGGAAAGTCTTTCTTGTTTCCTTACACAGGCATGGCCTTTGCATTCAGTCTCTTTCCTTCCTCCTTCCACTTCCCCATCAATACTGCTTGGCTGTAAGGCAGTGTGTCCTACCACAGGCCCCACCTGTATGACCAAACACTGGCTGTGCTTCTCTCTTCTTGGTCCGCTGACAATGATGGAACACAGGAAGGAGTTGAGGAAGAAAGGGGTAAATTAGAAAAAGTGAGTCCTGGGCTGGGCGCGGTGGCTCACGCCTATAATCCCAGCACTTTGGGAGGCCAAGGCGGGTGGATTACGAAATCAAGAGATCGAGACCATCCTGGTCGACGAGGTGAAACCCCATCTCTACTAAAAATACAAAAATTAGCTGGGCATGGTGGTGCATGCCTGTAGTCCCAGCTACTCTGGAGGCGGAGGCAGGAGAATTGCTTGAACCCAGAAGGCGGAGGTTGCGGTCAGCCGAGATCGTGCCATTACACTCCAGTCTGGGTAACAACAGCGAAACTCCGTCTCAAAAAAAAAAAAAAAAAAAGAAAAGAAAAAGAAAAAGTGAGTCCTTTAATATCTACCTACAACAAGTTTAGTACAGTCCATTATAGTTTGTTATTTTTTTAAATTAGAGGTCCTGTTTTGTTTAATTTTTATGCGTACATAGTAGGCATCTGTATTTATGGGGTATATCAGATATTTTGATACATGCATACAATGTGTGACAATCACATCAGGGTAAGTGGAGTATCTATTTCCTCAAGCATTTATCATTCCTTTGTGTTACAAACACTCTAATTATAGTTTTTTAGTTATTTTTAAGTGTACAAGAAATTATTGTTTACTGTAGTCATCCTAGAGGTCCTGTTTCACAAGCTAATCTGACATGCATAGCCTTGTCTTTATCTAGGGGGCCAGATGATACTCATAGTTCAAAAGAAAGCACTAGAAATGCTACAGGAATCCCTGATAGGCAGGAAGAGATAAGATAACAGGATTATATGGCATACAAACTAGAATGTAACTTGTAAAAAAAACAAAACCTCCAAAATAGAAAAAGCTATTACTGCTTTTTCTATTTTCAAAGATCCTGGACCAAAAAGTTTAATATGTGTATTTCCTTTATTATTTGTGGCCATATTATTTATCACTTTGCTGTTTTCCAGTTTGTTCCACATGTGGGTATCTTTTCTTATCAATGTGGTTTTATTTCTTTGATAGTTCTCATCTCCCCTAATAGTGCCCAACACTTAGTGAATGATTGGTTGACAGATATACTCAATGATACATTTTAAAAGTTTAATGAATGAATACTAAATCATGACTAAATGTAGTATGCTTCTAATAATGACTCTATAGTTATTGTGAAACTGGTGGTGTCTCACTGTGTATTACTAATCATGCGTTCTTTCTTGCTTTTTACAATTTTTTTACTGAAAAAAACCCTGAATTTGTAGCATTTGCCAAACTGTGCCCATACCTGCTAAGTTACATTAATAGAAACAACTCTAAGTACAGATTGTGGAATATAAAGTGAGGGGCAATATATATTAATTGCTCCATCCCCACATAGACTTGAAATTGTCACCCACATAGCATTCCAAGAAGAGCCTGTTATAAACCATATTCAGCTTAGAAGGAAGCACTCCCCTATCAGTGTTCTACCTTAGGTGAGTTTATCAAATTAGCTGATTGTGACATCAGGAAGGGCAGGAAGGATATGGCACCAAAAAACTGGCAAGACTCATGGGGGTAAGTAGAAAAGGCATGGCTGCCAAGAGGCTTAAGTAGAAAGGGAATGCCAGGTGCCAAGGAAGATGATGTAGTAGTCAGGAGAGGGACTCTAAAGTTTGGGCGCAAATAGCCAAGGGCTGACCCAGTCTAACTAGGTCTTATGATGTAACAGACTACAGGAATATGGGATACTTGTCATGGAATGAGATGTTAAGCTCAGGAACTAGCTGATGTGATATTATTTTATATGATAAGAAGGAAATTTTCTGGAAATAGCCACCCAGGCAGGCTTCAGCAATAAAGTAGACTTTATCAATGTAATGATTCATAGTCATCTCAAGATCAGCAAGAATCTCTGATGAGAAAAACTCCATTTTTGAAGCACACAATAGTGTACTTCACTTGAGTTTTTGTTGTCTCCAACTTTCCTGGTAAATTTCTCACTGAAGTCACCATCCCATTCTCCTGCATACGTTTTGCTTTTGCCTTTAACAAAATTGAGTGGGACCATTATTGCATCTACTAATTTTTGAACTGAAAGACCTGGATGTGGGAGAATTTTCCAGATTAAAAAGTTATTAATCACTAATAAATGCTGATCAATTAACAATATTGAAGTCTAATATATGTGTAAGTAATGCTTCTGTTTATGGTAGCTTTTTACTTCTGTAATTTTTTTCTTTTCTTTTTTGGGGTGACTCACCAGGGAAATTCTCCTAGCTAAATTCTGCTTTTTTGGGGGAATACTTTTAAACTTTCTTATATTTGTTATCTGTTCCACATGTATGGAAAAAAGCTGTAAATTAATGATTCGTCTATATATAAAATGTAAAGGGATTGCTGAAAGCATTTAGGTTTTTCAAAAGTTTTACCACAAACTATACTATGCTATCTTTAGATCTTAAAATTAGTATCCTAGCTCTTATAACCATTTCCTCCTTGAGTATGAAATATATTCTATAACACTGTTTATTGAGAAGAAGCAAGCTATTCCATTCTCAATCCTGGGGCAGAGGCAGGAACTCCTGAGTGGCTTATCTATTTTCGGTTGGACACTTCTGTTTTCTCACCACCACCTCTGCCCCAGGGTAACTACTCCATTTCATGAATTTAAACATTCAAAGGTTTAGCATTGACTAACAGCCACGGGTTAAATCAAGCAGCTTGCAAGCTCACACGCTCAGCTTTAATAAGCAGCTTTAATCCTGTCTCTGCATATATCTCAGCCCTTGATGTCAGTTGAGCTAACATGAACCTATCTGTCGGTTAATTTTTATTGTACAGGAAAAGGTTTTAAATACATTGACTCTGACTTTTATCTTTACAGCCTGAAATGGTCTGAACACTTAAATGTTTCAGATATTTAAATTCCATCCTAAATCATTTACTAAATACTTGAATATAAGAGAAGGCTGTTCCTCCCATAACCAGGTATAAATTTTCATCTTTCTGAGTCTTGTCAGCCAGCAAGAATGGTGACAACAGGCTTTATGAACAAGACTACCAAATAACTATTTATCCCCATGTCTCTAGTAGTATCAGTTCCTACGGTAGAAATTCCCATGAGTTCCCAGTGATTGCAGAGTACTTAGGAACTATCAGACACTCAGGAAATGTGTCCTTCTTAATTAATGAAATGTCTAGAGAACAGTGGCTCCTAATCTTTTTTGAGTCCAGGACTTCTTTAAGAGTCAGATGAAGGCTGCAGACTCTGTCCACAGAAAAATTGATGTATGCAAAAAATGTTGCTTGTGATCCCAACAAGATCAAGGACCCCACGACACTCACCCCTGGTGTCGGGTTATGAACTACTTAGTGGTTAAGAATCTCTGTTCTAGAGTAAGGCTCTGGAAAGTAGGAACAGTAAGCCAAATTCAGCCAGCAACCTAAGAATGTTTTTTATAGTTTTAAATGATTGAAAAAAAAATAGGAGAATAATATTTGATGAAACACGAAAATTATAGGAAATTCTTAATCCAGTGTCCATCTACAAATTTCATTGTGCTCATTAGTAGACCTGTATTACAAAAAACTGTAAATAGTTCTTTCCTCTCTTGTTATATAAGTATCTACATAATATCCTCAACTTTGCCTCTTGAACCTCACAGCCTAAAATATTTATATCCAGCCATTTATAAGAAAGTTCACCGACCTTGGTTCTAAAGGATTTCAAAAATTAAATTCTCCATCACTTTCTGGAGTAAAGCACCAATTATATATATAGAAATATATATATATATATAATTATATATATTATATATACATATATATCAAGACATAAATTTAATATTCATAGCAAGATTCCACAAATTGAAAATATTTGGCTTTGTAAACCAATACTAAGGTATTCACTAAAATGTTCTTTTAAATACTAATATTAGGATTCTTAATGATTTGTTTATAGAACAATTACTACTCAGTGACTAAGAATAGGGAAATAGCTGGAATCCTGTAAAGGTAAATTTTTAAGAGCCACCACACATTGCTCTTAAAGGATTCTGAGGCAATGGAGTTTAATGCAAAACTATGCCTCAAATAAATGTCTAGTTTACACATACTATAGGAACAGTGACTTAACAGGTTATTCCTCAAGCTAGTATAAAGAAATACAAATTGAATGCTATGCCAAATCAATCTTTGTATCTCCTCAATATCCTAGATCTATTTGTACTTACCTCAAAAATATCCAAGATTGGTTACAATTATTGTTAAGTGAATGTAAAATATTTCAAAATCCTGGCCTAAGGTCAACAGAATACTCGGGGCCTTCCATCTCTGAGTTCCTGTCTAGAATTGAATGATTAGACATTTTCTTTTACAGAAGGGTAAACATTTGGTAACAATTTGTTGACTCAGTTTTAATACAAGAAAAATAGCACTCTTAAATTTTACTAGCATCATAATATCTTCATTTTACTGCTCATG